CTGCTTCATGCTAGGGGAAGCTCTCATCTCCTGGCGCTCCTACAAGCAACGATCTGTCGCCACTTCAACAACTGAAGCGGAATACATGGCCCTCTCCGACACCAGTCGACAACTGATCTGGTTAAGGAATGCAATCCATGAGCTGGAACGAAAACCGAATCTCTCTTTCATTCTTCGCGGGGACAATAATGGCTCTCTCTCTTTGGTTAAGAATCCTGTCTTTCATAAAAGGTGTAAGCATATTGACGTACATTTTTATTTTGTTCGGGAACGGTTTGAGGATGAATTATTTGAACTGGAGTATATTTCTACGAATGAGAATGTGGCAGATTTACTTACAAAGGGATTGGATAAAGGCAAACATGTTTTATTTTCTTCTACTATTCACTGTGGCTCACGAGGGGAAGTCTTGAAATAGGGCGCTCGGAACGTTTCATAGTTCTGGAAGATTCTCATTATTTCCTTATGATATTTGTCATCGACGTATGACTCACTTTCCTATTAGTCATTCTATTACTCATACGTCTATGACTCATTGTATTTCTTTTGTACTACCTTTCATTAGTATAAATACGGGGCATTCCCCCCTTTAGCTAGCACTATCAACACGATCAATTACTTTACTTCTTCTACATACTTTCTCTATTATCAAGTCCTTATATAATTCAGTATCGACAAGGAGGTTGAATTACCAAACGGACCGGGAAAAATTGAACCGCATATGAACAATCAACATGTTTTTCTGCGCCGTAGGATCATTCACTTTGGTATCCACCCGTTACTGTGAATTACTGCATTCAATGATATTTCTTTTGTCGCCCTTATTTCCCGCCGATCGACTTTCGACACAAAACAGGCCGTTTTCACCCCTAAAGCACAAAGGCCATGCGGAATGGTTCGGCTCGTTCTCTAACAATGTGGCCAATAGGAATTACATGTATCGCGCTTTAAAATTTATATAGTGATCGATCTTTTGATAACCTAGCTAGTCTCTAGGAGCTGTGGAAGTGTGTACCTAGAATAATTCAGTAAAGTCGTCGGGAAAGTCGTTTCTGGGGTCCCAATTCTCGCTGGAAAATGTCAATATTTTGGTGGAGGGGAAAGTCATTTTAAGGAAAACTCGGACGAGTTTACAGACCACTTTACAGACGACTTTACTGATGCCTTTACTGGTCACGCTTCTGTCACAAATTTTGGGCGCATACAGAGGCGGGGATAAGTTTTGGCCACCGGTGATCCTTCACATGATTGACTAAGGCCATCGCCAATGAAACGATTCATCAAAGAGCATCCTACTATTGTACCTGAAGCATCAAGCAAGAATTGCCTGCATGTATATGCCAAACAATGGATCCGCCAAAATGAAATTGTATTCCCCAACTTTTACAAGCCCATTGATGCCAGATACCATTTGATGACCCCATCGAAATATTTTGTTTGAGTACTCAACTATTTCGAGATCTAGAGCTAGAGGGGGGGCTTCATTCGAAAACGGGAAATACCGGAAGCCGTCGTTTTTTTTTTTTGGTAAAGTCGTCAGTAAAGTCGTATTTAACATGCCTTTAATAGGTAAATGCATCAGTAAAGGTGTCGGTAAAGTGTCGGTAATGGGACAGGAATGCCTTTAACACACAGTAGGTCGATTATTACATCAAATAATATGTACCTCGCAACCTTTTGTACGGGAAACGTCAAAATTGATGCATTTCCACGGCTACTCGAGAGTACTCTTATCTTAATTACGTTTAAACCTGACATATTTAACTTGATTTCCCGACCACTTTTCACGCGAGGCGAAAATATCAATGCCATTTAATATTTTCAAGTTACATTGTTCTGTACTTTGTAGCTATCTACAAAAAGATTGTATAAAAGGCGAGAAAAGACCTCCAAGACAAAGAAACCCTAACCCACCACCATCACCAGGATGTACACAGCTCCAACGGTAGTTTCGCTAGCCCTGTCACAATTGAAGATGAAGCGAGAAAATTAAAGACCGATGATTGAGCTACATATGTCTCGAAAAAGAACTAAAACCTAGGGGATCTGACAGACGATTCAGTGGATATTTATAGGTGTGCTGCTGAGGGCAACGGTTAGGACTACGGAGCCTAAAGGAGGTGGGGAAAGTGAATATGTACATATCTTTAAAGCAACAAGAAAACATACATCATGTACTAAGACGACTCTATTTTGGCCGCTCCCTACCGGGATAATTAGCAACCCCCCCGGGGGGGGACAAGGGTTAAAATCCAAATTCTGGTGTAGTCAACGATCAGGAGGAAAAGCTCGACTAGACATTTGATAGCAGCTACATAATCAGCTTGAGCCGATTTGTTGAGGCTCGAATTGCTCGAGTACCACTCAAGATGTTTACTGGCCTCATAGATCATTTCTTGGAATCATTCTAGATCTATATGTGAATATATTCTTCAGGGTTTAAATACAATCCAATGACCCAGGTATTACCGGCAGTAGGGTTAACAAAGGGTAGGAATATGTAGAGGGATAAGGTCCGAAAACCTCGAGCTGACACATCCATCGATCATACTGCGAAATTCTGCGTGGGAAAAAGTAAACTATGTATCTCCGAGAAATTAGAGATACTAAAGCTTCCGTAACTAACTGTAATAAATCCACTATTTACGCTAATTACCCAAATCAGTTGCAATATTAGCCGGGTTATTCAGGTTTTAGTATTCATCTGAATAACCTTGATTGTGGGTGGTATCGCCGTCAAGAAGGTACTTTGAAGGCCTAGCGTTTATGTAGTTCTTTGCCTCTGTTCTTATAAATTAGTATGCAATAAGAAATAATACTGTGTATCGCTTCAACAGTGCGGAAAAGGGTGATGAACAGAATGGATTGTACCTTTCCCACCGACCTCAGGTTCAAAACAATCTGAATAATAATCCTGCCCTGTGTTTCGGCACCTCTCCGGAGTGCAACACCCAGTAAGATATAACTGAAATAATCAGTCAATCAACGAACGGGTAAGTACTTTGAAGCTCTCAATAGAAAGCTGGTGGTATTCCTGTCACTCGATTCAACTTCCCAAATGACGGCAACGAAGAACAGTGCCTAAAAGGGCTATGGTGAACCCAAGTAGAAAATGAAGAACAGTAACTCCTGCTTCCGCACTTCCCTTTTTCTTTGGCGGCCGGAGCTCACTTTCGGGTTTTCTCACAACCGTTGCGAATGCTGCTGATTCCCTCTTGAGGCATCTTTAGCATCCACTTGGACAAGTTCTCCGGTGCATAACTTTGTAGCTTTGGGTCCTCGATATGGAGATAAATCCTTGGCCCAGTTGATATCGGGCGGGAGAGAGGAGAGCCGGAGAGAGTGCTGGCGTATGACACATGAGTTAACTGCAAACTTATAACCAACTTGGAGAAGACCACCCTACGTACACAGACCCCGTGTCTCTCCATCTGCAGATAGTTTAGAGATACCGAGGTGGATTTTGCGGCCTCATAGCTATAGGGCTATAGCTATGATAGGAGACTTGGCGTTATTCCAAGCATTTTGGTAGGACCCCCGAGCACCTATGTAGGTCTTTAATTTTACTCAGTGCTATGAAATTCGGTCTATGAGAAAGTAGACAGAGGATACATACTAGCTCGGCCTGACAAAGCTTCCCTTAGAGTCCGGACGGTCTGCATACGGTGGAGGAGGAGCTAGCAGGAGGGCGTTTTGTCATAATACTAGAGTTAATATATATCTAAGAGGAGAGCTAGCACCTGCACAATGTCTCCTTATCAAAAATCCGTCCTGTCCCTACCCTTGATCCCATAGTAGTGTAGCTGTAGCCACAAGCTCCTGGAGCTTCCGCTGAAAGAGTGTGCGTAGCTTGAGCTCGCAGGATTCTCCTCCGGCTGTACATGGGGTCAGCTGAGGAATCAACTCCAATCCTGAATAAAGATTGAAATCGAGGAATAGACCAGCTGAAGTGAGCGTCGAACATGTACACCCGCCGATGGATCGCTGTCGGCAGAAAGATGGAGGGTTGAGCTTAAGTGTTTCGGGGGTGTCGTTAACTTGCTACTGCCCTGGCCTGTAAACGGGCAAGAGACCACATATGTGTGCCGTTCCTAGCTTGTGCGTATACGTACCGTACATGTAGTCTTGCCCTTAGCACAGTCAAGGCTGCATAGCGGGGGTTAACATGAGAAAAAACCCACTAAGCGATGAGATCGATGCCATATCATGTAGCCCCACCCTAACAAGGACACAGAAACAATTCCATCTAGCTACGCGCCGTCTTTAATGACCTCTTTTCCTCCCATCCTCCAGGATCTCACGTCAATCTTCCGTTTCTTGAGTTTGATTGGATAAAGGACAGTCGAGGGGCCGGAACGGCACGAGGGACCGAGGATTCTTGTCTCGACGGTTTGAGATGCTTCTCTCCTGTGAGACCCTGGTGGCGGTGAGGGGATCCGGAGAGTTGGGATGTTTGGGTACTGGCCTTAGACTTGACTTGAATCTACAGCGCTGGACGCAGGGTATCATGAGTGTGGGTCCTCATACTTCATTGGAATGCTCGTCGACTCCGCCGTGAAATGGAAGAAATAGATGGAGGTGAAAGAAGCACAGTACTACACAGAGCACAGCTAGTTGTGTCAGCATATATACCGTTTTCAACCCTTCGGAACGCAGCACACTTCTGTTTGAGGCATATCACGGAGGACCTAGGATCGGAGATTTTAATAATTATTTGCTCAAATCATATGCAGATTCCGCAATATTGCGACACATGCATGCAGAACGGGAAAAAACCGAAAAAACGCCCTTTACTAGCTAGAACCTCCTCGAAGCATGCATGCAAAACCAAATCACCAAAGACCTGAAACGCAAACAAATCAAAAAGCACAACGGACGACGGAACAATTGTGTAGTTGTAAATGCAAACACCCGCATTTAGATTACAACTCCTGCACTTTCTCCTCACCTCCCTGCTCCCCGTCCTCCTCCCCCTCTCCTCCTCCCCCTCTTTACGCTCTCTACCCTCCTCCAGCTACGCCTCCCTCCTCCTGCCCCTCCCTCATCATGAGCACCTTCTCCTGCTGCGTCATCTCCTCCACCACACGGTGGTAGTCCTCCTCCAGCCTCATGCTCTCATCATGGTAGTTCTGCACCTCACGCTGCGAGTTGAGCACCACCGCCACCATGCGCAGGTACAGCGACGTGTCCCAGAAGCCCTTCTGCCGGGCGCCCAGCGCATCGATCTTGTCGTTGTGCTGCTCGGCGTCAGAGATGAGCACCGAGAGGCGCTGGGCCCGCGCAGAGTTTGCGCTGAAGAAGGCGTGCTGGTGGTCGCGGGCGTGGGCGCGGAGGGTGACGAGGCGCTCGGTGGGTGTTTGTGGGGTGGTTCTGTCCATGATTGTTGTGAATGTAGGAATATAATGTTGGTATAAGCAAGGTCGAGATGTATAGATCTCGGTACTGAGTGTGGGATAATATAATGGAGGACTAACCCACCAGATGACAAGAAGTCAAAGAGGGCGTTATACAGCCAGACGACGAGATTGGGTTTTTCAAGCGCACCGTCGACCATTGTATTTTTGCGTCTTCAAGCGTACCTGCATCGTGTGATGTGGGAGAGGGGGATTTCAAGAGGGCATGCAGCGTGGGACCGAGTGATTCCGTGTGACCGCGGGCACACACGCCGTAGAAACAGATACATGCTAGACGCACCGCCACCGGCTGAAAAAGACAAAGTCCTTATTCCTTCCCGCCATGTAGGAAGGGAGAGTGTGTGGTCTGTGCACCCGTCACTGTAGTGTAGTGGTGTGTCCTCAAGTCTACCCTGTTAACACAGCACCCGTCCCAGACCAGTCAGTACAGTCAGCACAGCCCAGACACGGTCTACAGCTCGATTTCCTCCCCTCTCTGGTATTATTTCTGTGCACGTGCCACACCCTGCCAGGGTTAGGGTTCTTTCCCATCTCTGACCTGCGATCTCCCTCGCCCCGCCTTGAGCGATGCTGCGATGCAGAGAGTGAGTGAATGTCTTCCCCCGCTCTCTGCCCCTCAACACCAACACCATCTCTCTATCGCTCGCCCCCCTATTGATATTCACAGACTCACATACTCCTTTTCAGACACACACAGCTGCCGAGTCTTGGAGAGCTAGCTACATACACCACCATGCTCCCCCACTCCTCCGCCTCAGCCCCCGCAGCAGCACGCCGCCCTCCCCCCTCCGCCGACCCCGGCCTTCCTCCCCCCTCGTCGACCGCCTCCTTCTGGCACAGCGAGCCCTCCTCCTTCCTCCACAACCACCGCACAACGCCCACCGTCCCCACCGATGCCGACATTGTCATCATCGGCTCCGGTCTCGCCGGCGCCACCACTGCCCGCTACCTCTACGAGTCCTCCGCCGCCCCCGCCATCGTCATGCTCGACGCGCGCCAGGCCTGCTGGGGCGCCACCGGCCGAAACGGCGGCCACTGCAAGGCCTCCCTCTACACCCTCTCGTGCCTCCCCGAGCTCGCCACAACGCTGGGCTACGACCAGCTCACAAAGCTCATGGCCTTCCAGCAGCTCAACGTCGCCCTGGTGACCGAGTACGTCCGCGCCGAGGCCGTCGACTGCGACTTCCGCCCCATGGACAGCTGCGACGCCTTCTTCACCGAGGACAACTTCCGCGCCGCCCGGGAGAGCATCGACGTGCTGCGCAAGCGCATGCCAGAGTACTCGGGCCGGCTGCGGGTCGTGACGCGCGACACGACCGAGGGCCGGCGCATCCTGGCCCAGGAGACGAGGACGCCGACGGCCGTGGGCGCGGTGCTGTCGAGCGCTGCCTGCCTCTGGCCGTACAAGCTGGTGGCGCACATGCTGGAGCGGGCGGTGCGCGAGCGCGGCATGAACCTGCAGACGTGCACGCCGGCGCTGTCGGTGGTGCGGAACACGGGGAGTGCAAGGAAGTGGACGGTCATCACGGCGCGCGGGAACATCAACACGGACAAGGTGGTGTTTGCCACAAACGCGCACACGGCACACCTTCTCCCCGCGTTCAAGGGCCACATCTATCCCGTGCGCGGACAGATGTCGGCCCTCGTGCCGCCAAAGTCAATGATCGACCGCCCGCTCACGCACTCCTACCGCCTCGTGGGAAAGGACGGAATGATGGACCAGTACCTCATCCAACGGCCCATCCAGCCCGACGGCTCCGGCGGCGAGCTCATGCTCGGCGGGGGGCGCTCCCTCGCCGCAGGCTTCGGCGAGGGCCGCATGGACGGCGCCATCGACCCCCCCGTCGCCCGCTACCTGCGCAGAGCACCAGCCGAGTTCTTTGCCGGCGAGACCGGCTTCCCGGGCGAAGCCGTCGTCGGCGGGCTCGAGAAGAGCCTCGTCAGCAAGTTCCGTCGGCTCACGATCGATGCGGTGGTGGGCAGCCAGCTGCGCTTTTGGGATGCGGCCGAGGGGATTGGGTGTGATGACGGTGAGGAGGAGGACTCGGATTCGGGGTCAGAGTATGATGATGACAACTCGGAGAGCATCACGCAGGACTCGCAGGGGAGTCGGGAGTGCGTGGCAAAGTATGAGTGGTCGGGGGTTATGGGGTTCAGTAGTGATGAGATGCCGTGGGTTGGGCGGGTGCCGGCGCTGACGGCGGAGGAGGCGCGGGCGCGCGGGTTGGAGGCACGGGAGGCGGTGATGGAGACGGAGGGGCTGTGGATGCTGGCGGGGTTCGAGGGGCATGGTGTGTTTTATATTCCCTCTCTCTATGAATTTCACTTTGATTGCTAACTATGCGTGTGTAGGGATGGCGTACTGCACAGGAGCCGCAAAGGCGCTGGTGCAGATGATGGCGGGCAAGCAGCCGTACGACTTCTTTCCCGAGTGTCTCGAGGCCTCGCGACAGCGCATGGGTCTCGCGCCGGAAGAAGACGAGGAGGAGGACGAGGAGGAGGTCGACGCCGAGGAGGAGGACGAGGTGGAGGAGGAGGTCGATATCGACGAGAGCAAGGTCGACATCAGGTGGGAGGACCTGGAGAAGGACGAGGAGAGCGAGTGGGTCGTTGTGTGATATCTGTACCATTGTTTGTCTTTTTTCTTTTTTGCTTCCACGTTTGGCCGCTTTTTTTTTAAATGGCTGGGGTTGGTTTATACTAGCGGGGGGCGTGTCACTATGGAGAAGGGCTGTATATGGCGTGGGAGCGAATGCATGGCGTGTAGTGTTCTGTAGATTTTGTGCGGTGCGGTGGTTTTTTGGTATCTACGCGTTGTAGGAGTGCATGATATTGCGAAGCTGATGCTGGAAAAATAAGGTTGTTGATATCTCTTTCTATTATAACTTGATTTCGGAATATATATCTGGATTTAGAGATACGATATGGAGAGTTGCGATTGTTGAGAGGAGATATATTTTACCAATGGAACGCTGAATATGAGCAATTAGTGGACTGAAATTAATGACAAGGAGGTGAAAGAAGATGTGAAGGATCCAGAGGTCTAACTACTTAAGATAAGTACAGGGTCGAACTCCCATGGGCCTCCTTCCTTATATCTCATCGTACCACTCCTCCGTCATCAAATAGTTAGTAATGGCGATCAAAACTTCCATTCTGTTCTCCAGATCTCTAATATCCAGTGTTCTATGACATGCAGCGCCTAAATCGATACAAACACACAGGCCTCCACCGGCTTCTGGTCGAAGTAGATCAGCTAATTAAAGAAAGGAATCCCCGGATTCATGGATCCATCTTCTCAGATATAATAACAACCTATGTATGTTTGGGGAAATGGCCAGTGCTAAGCGATAATTCTGTAGCGTTTAAACTGATGATATTGTAAACCGGATTCCCTTGACTTCATGGTTGATGATACCCTCAAGTCTTTGCAGAATCCAGCCCTATTTATACATGTTGGAACTTATGCCAAGGCCCGCTTTCTAATACTAACTGATACAACAATAATAGAGTAAGATAACACTCCCGAAGATAACCATCAGCAAGCTCGCCTATTACCCAGGGCGCAGCCCCTACGTCCTGGCGGGCATTCTGCGCCACGAGCGCCCAGCGCGTCCGGCACCGCCAGAGTACAACCCTCGCGCCAGGCTCCGCCGCAGGACCGTCCCACTCTCTGGGACCGCCAGGAGATATGGCTCACGTCCGGAGGGCACTCGCCAATGCTCTGGTCGCCTGGGCCGCCATGAGATTCCCTCCCCCTCCGGAGACGCTAGGATGGAGTGACTCCGCCCACAGCACCTAGGAACTCTTGCTTCTTTTGATTACGTCAGTAGTACACGCGAGCACTTCCCAATGCTCTCACAGTTTTCTTGAATGCTCTCACGGCACGACAAATGCTCTCACGGCACGACGAATGCTCTCACGGCACGGCGAATGCTCTCACGGCACCGCGAATGCTCTCACGGCACCGCGAATGCTCCCGCGAATGCTCCCGCGAGGGCTTCCGCGAGTGCTCCCAGAGCACTCACCAATGCTCACAGAGCTGAGGCATTCGTCATACCCACTCAAGGTGAGGCAACCCTCATTTGGGCTACTTTGGATTGATACACCGTCCTCAAAGGATAGGAAGGCCGCACCAGTCCCTCAAAAGATATCTAACGTGGGTATCCTCAACGCCGCTGTACGGTCAGTCGCGGGATACTGATACGAGCACTGTCCTGTATACTGGTGACGACTACCCAACCTTTGACGGACGTGTATGTTTCTGTCGATTCGTGAAAGGCATAATTAGCCTTGAAGTTGAGGCCATGGTACGGCTCGTCTGAAAAGCTCAATGTCCATGCATAAGCAGCAAACATGGACTGGCATTGACCTCCTGGAGCGAGCTTGCTGGATAGCCAGACTCAGATACTGAGCGGCCGAAACTTTACCTCCTTCTTCCAATCCGCATGCATAGCAGAACGACACGAATTTTGAATTAGAGAGTCCAATTGGGTCTAACGTTCCTAGAGCACTCAAGAATGCCCTCACGGCTTTACAAGTATTCAACTAAATTCATTCCACGTACGCAAGTCTATCCTAGTATTTACCAACCAATTACCAGTCTCCACCTCAAACAAATGGGCCATTCCCAATATACTCCGAATATTAACGACCCACATCCTCTTCCTCCTCCTCCTACAAACCTTCAGGAGCCCATGTGAGCTATCAGCGATACCACGATCCTTTGCCTCGAGTAGCTCCACTATACATAGTCTATGTGCTCGCCCCCCACTGTCCCGCAGCTTGAACAAAGCCTCGACACGTCCTGGTAAGCGTCCCCGAAACACTCCCCACTCCTCTGAGGACGCTACCGACACCCATACCCAATCCTTTCTTATTTTCCCTTTCCTAAAAGCCGCGTTTCCCGTACACCTGATATTGTGAACCTCGTACACCTCAGGTCTTTGGAAGATTGGTATCGGAACCTGCAAACATGTGAACATCTCCACCCGGCGCTCTAAAATGCTCTCAGAGCTTCCGGCAAAGCTTTGAGAGCATCCCGCATCCTCTGCATACTCCTTTATCAGGCGATATAACGTGGTATGGCTTATTTGCAGTCCATCCGCAATATTGAAAAGTCTTTCCGATTTCGTGGAGGGGTTGCAAAGACGCCTTAGAGGCAGTCGGCCTTCTACTATGGATCGTTCATTTGGTGTTTTTTTCCGGTCTTCGATTTTAAAAATCTCAAGTAACTCCTTCATGTTATCTCGATGGCTCCAAAGGATGTCGTCAGTGCTCTCAGGACCTCCAACAATGTCTTTCAGATTCAGCATTCGAATCTCTAACGCCAACCGCCGCCCCCCATAGTCCAGTATCTGCGTTGCAGCATCGACCTTGTTGGATGCTCCGTATGCCTCTTTTATCTGACGTACATGGGCGAGTTCGCTGATGTCGGTGGAGTACTGGGGAATGCTCCCAAAGCGCTCGACATGTTCCCGATAGTGCGTTAACACGTGCAATTTGATGAAGTTGAAGTGAGACCTTTCCCGTATCTCGCGAATCTCCTCCAAACCTCGCTGAGCGCTCTGGGAGCCTGAGGTCTTCACAGCTTTTGTCCGATCTCTCGCATCCTTAACCGTCCTCTTGTACGCCCGGAATTCTAAAAAGATATCCTTGTGCTTATGGAAATTCTCGAGATAGCTCTCCATATAATTCAGTGTGCTCGTCGTATGACTCCCATACTGCGCCATTAAGTGGAAGTCGATTAAGCCTCGTACACATTTCAATGCCTTTGCGAAGTCGCCCCTGACAGCCACCCCCGGGTTTCTCAAAGCAGCCGCGAGTGCTCCAAGAACGACCCGCCCAGATTTCTCATCTCCTTCCCTTGCCATTGGGTTGTGGCACGATATGCCTTGTTCGGTACTGCCAGTCCAGGGTAAGACGCAATCGAGGCCCAAGCCTTGTCAAATTCCTCCAATCGATTGTGCTTCTTCAAGAAAGCCTGAACCCACTCCATCATGTGCTTCAACATCCCTAGGTAAGATATTGTGCAGAATGTCCGGTTTGTTGAGATCGTATGGATTAACCCTCGGCATACCCCAGAAAGCATTGAAGAGTGTCTTTACTGATCTCGCGACAAGGTATTCCACCGGTCCCAGGTTTCCCGGGTTCTCCCTGAATAGCTTTACCCTCTCCCGGTAATCCTCGTGATCGCGCGTAGGGCTCCGGCGAGTGCTCCCAAGACTGTGGAATTCCACCTCGCATCTTGGACAAGAGCTAGTACTAATATTTTGTAAGTTTGAATGCTCAGGTTGATCAGCGATCCAACCCGACAACACCGGAAAGCATAGAGGTTCGTACCCGTCGGCGAATGCGATTAGCTCGCCTTCCTGAGAGCACTCCCGAATGCTCTGAAAGATCTCCCCAAGGGCGCGATGCAGCGCCATTTGACTCTGACGTCGTAAAGCGGAATTAGCGAGTGAGTTCTTCCCGAGCTTAGGTGGGACTGGCAGTAGCCCTAGGAGAATTAACGATGCCCGGTGGCTTGCT